AGCGAATAGCGATTCGCTGTTTGAAAAGTAGTCAACTACTTGGCTACTTTTAGGCAAAATGTAGTTCGCTATAACTACAGCTACTGTTTTAAAAAAGTAGTCAAAAACTACTGGCTACTTGAAAATTGTAGTTCGCTACAGTAGCGACTACAGCTTCGCTACTACCCACCCTTGCCATTTCCTACGTAAACTACGGTTTCTAAATGACAAAAAGAGTAAAATTCATGCTAAGGAATACATTACGTACATGCACTCGATAAAATGTCTTGACCAGCCAGTTTACCATATATACATTTATATTATATCGTAATTTGCAAAACGTCGTTCTAAATAACTTACTGTTTCTACATAGGGACATTACGAACAATGAGCTTCATTTTCTTACCTCTGGACCATCTGGGCCAACTACGCCTGGATCACCCCGTGCACCAGTTAAACCCTATTAAATACAAAGATCAACCATGAACATTTTTATAGTAATCAGTGGTGTAGTCCTAACATTTTAACGAAGAGGGCTCATCTAGGGAGACCTTGAGGCATGAACCACAAGAATGTTTTATTCTAGGGTCTCCTATAAACGATTTAAGTGATGTTTTAAAACAAGAAAATCAGTACAATCACTGGAGGGCTCATTTGTCAGAATACTATCCTGGATATAAGGAAAACTAGCATTACTAGTGTGACCTTAAAAATCGAATAGAAATAAATTGAAATAGTAGTTGTGTTTTAATTGTAGAATAATGCCCAATATTATAACTTAGTAAAGATGTGTTATATTTTCAAAGACTATTTCAGTCTTGCAAAAATCTTATGGGGGGCTGAGCACCACCACAATTTTTAGCAAGGGAGGCCCTGAGCCCCCCTCCACTACACCACTGATAGTAATATGGTCGTACAGGTAGCCAGGTTGGGGGCATCCCCCTGCAAAAATGGGAAAATTCAGAGTAGTTAAAAGCATGGGTATCACATTCTTATTTCTGGCAATGTAAATTTTGGTTGTTCTTTATAAAATTGTAAGAAAGCTTCGGATTGATAGGGATACAAGAAATAAAGAAAGAATACCCCCGTCTGAACTCCCTTACACATTCACTGTACTATGTAGTGAAAGAAAGTTTCTAAGAGGTTCACGAACTATATACAAACTATAATCATATTAACCGTAGGATAAAAGTGCTTCGCCCCCACCCCACCACCCTTCCTGGGTGCCCCCCACCCAATGGCATAACGTTATTTCCAGGGGGTGGTGGTATAAAATAGTACGAGTGCCAAAGGTACTGTACGAGTCGAGCAAATTTTTTAAATCTGCAGTCTCTGAAATGCCATTTCCTGGACTTTGGGGAAGATTTTACAGAATTCTGACAGTCAGAAAACGACATAAAAACATCAGAATCCACAGCCTGATCCTGGGGGTTCCCATTTGGGCATTTGGTGTTGGAGATTCCGGGTCCGCCACTAGTAGTAGTAGTAGCTACGCCACTGCCCCCACCCTTAGTGTGATATCATATTGAAACATTGAAACAGCTACAATATATACTTACATTTTTACCCGCTCTTCCTTTATCGCCAGGAGAACCGCGGTCACCAACTGATCCCTAAAAAAGAAATAGTGTTTCGTTATAGTTACAGTAATGTTTCGTTATACAGTAGTTATAGTATTTAAGGTCTTAAACACATGCTTAGATACACGTGGAACGTTTGTCAGTGCTCCTATTTTGCAAGACTTAAAAAAGCATCCTTATGAATTCAAAATCGTGAGAGAAATTCAGAGAATAACGTGTTGCAATGCATTAAAACACGCTCAGATAAAAACACATCTTCTTCTTGTTACACTACTTTGTAACACATTTAAAAACACGCACTCTTTTACGTCTTAGCTCCAGGATCGTGCGCAACGGGGGCCAAGCAGCACTTGTAGTCGTGTTTTTCAGATATAAAACGCTCGGCTGCGCCTCGCATTTTATATCTGATAAAACACTCCTACGCGTGCTTTAAATAGTACTTCAAGCATACCAGGTATCACTTTCCCCCCTGGTGAAAAAATCTTGCGTACGGCTCTGCTTTGCTGCATACGTTTTTGACGCACTCGCTCTCAACTAAGCACTTAAGTTACTTTTACTTTTACAAACTTCTCTTATATTCTCACCTTTTCTCCAACTTGTCCCTTCGCTCCCTTGGATCCGCGAGAGCCTTGGTCACCCTATGGTAAATGCAAAACTATCAGAACATTTTCTAAACGATAATAACAACGTAGGGCGCATTAACCACATAAAGGGTTAACAAGACACATGGGTAGACCTCCCTTGATGAGTGAAATCGTCAGGCGTAAGACAGAGCACAATAACAAAGTAGGGCCATTATGGAGCAATGTCGCTGTTCAACTTAACCACGTATCGATTCTTTGATTATGGTTCTTATCATATCTGTACACAAAAGTATGCCATCAAATTTTACATTTCGCATATCACGTTGAAATTTGACTTCAAAAGTTAACAGTGGATTATATAAACGCGACGTTGTTAATCGCAAAATCTGAGAATAAAGTAGGTCGTTTGCAACTTGCCTCAATCGCTGGCAGCAAAACAAGTCTGTCGACGTATTTACTCTGTTAGCCTGATTTCATTTACTGCCTATTCTACATTTTCAATATTTGTACAGAGGTTAGTTTTTACCGCACTACTGCCACTAGGAACAAACGAAAATGCAGAATAGGCAGTAACTTCCACAAGGCAATCTTTTCACTAAATATTTCTGCAAACTATTTTCTGCAATCAGCAATTGGGGCAAATTACGAACGACCTATACCATATTCTCTGCTTCGGTATTTCAATTTTCGTGCGCACAGAAAACCAAAAAATGAGACTATAATAATAAATTTAAAGACACAGATCGGTTACTTACTTGACCACCACTTGAACCGGGTGATCCCATACGACCTGAAGGCCCCTGTGGTCCCTATAGAACACAGAACACATTAGATAATAATACACTACATGTATTGCAGGGTCAGGTTACATTAAGAATGATATTAATCCATTGTGTGGCAGTACTCTCCCTTTGACGAGTAAAATCGCCTGGCGTTAGAGAGAGTAAAATAATAATGGACAACTTGCATGTTAGACTAAATTTTAATCTATGTAAAGAGAAGGGAATAAAACACAACAGTTAAAAAGAAAATAATGAAATTAGTAAAATTGCAAAATTTGGTTGCGAAATGTTGTAAAATACAGAAAATATAGCCTTGCGAAGTTTGCATATTTTCAGTAATTTGTATTGCGTGCGGAAATTGTTACCATTTTCGGCTCAAAAATTGGTAACAATTTCCGCACGTAATACAAACATACTGAAAATATGCAAACTTCGCAAGGCTATATTTTCTGTATTTTACAACATTTCGTAACCAAATTTTGCAATTTTACTGATTTTAATAAGTTCTTTACGGGAATTTACTTTTTTAGCCTAAATAAAAAATTAGTCTAACATGCAAGTTGTCTATTATCAACAGGGTGTAAAAAACTGGAATCCGTCTTGCATGTTAAAATTTTTTGAAATACTAGACCTTATAAAATTATTTAGGTCTTATTTTAAAAGAATTTTTCTCTTCGAGAAGGGGTCATTAAGAAGTGTTAATCGTAGTAACTGCAAAGACGAAATTAGTAGAAAGCATCATTTTAATTAAGATATGCCGTAATTTTTTCATAGTTACGTTTGAAATTCTTCTTTTGTTGCCTTACGACAAAAATAGTTAAAACAGTGTTAACACATAAAAAATATAGTCGGGGTCGTATTATTTATTTGAAACTCTTCACACCAAACAACTGATCATCAAAATAAAATTTTGCCGGCAGAAGCCCATCGAGTCCTAGTTACAAAGTAAGGTACATTACAGGCCGCAACGCCACTTGAAGGACATCGCCAATATAAATTAAGTTTTGTCTTATTTGAAAGAACATTTAAAATGATATATAAACTTCATTTACAATTATTCGTATCTTGCTTGGTTTTCGAAATAAATCAAAATATTTTGATCAAAAGCAGCGTGCATTCCGCCATCTTGGATGTGCGTTCGATATGCATACGTTACAAGTAAGGTAAAAAGCGAATTTTTTATCTTGCAAACCACATGTCATTATCAATATGAAACTCGATTTTCCGAAGTCTTTTTAGTACTCAATAACTCACAACATTTTAAGAAACTTTTCGAAGAAATTTAGTCTCACATGAAAAAGTTTTAATAACGTTTACCCTGCTTGTGACATCATCAAAAACTCAGTTAATTAGGTCAATTATTGTTCAAATATTTCGAAAACCAAGCAAGGTACGAAAAAGTTGTAAAGGGTCTTCATATATAACTTTAAAAGTTCTCTCAAATAACACAAAGTTATTTTTATTGCCATATCCCTTTAATTTTAAGGGTTAATGTCGTCGAGTATACAGTTGTACCGTACTATAAACAGAAATTACCAGTGCCAGCTGGTATACAAACTTAAAAACTGTAGCTACTAGATTTTAATGAACTATTTCCAAAATGCTCAATTTGTTCTCATTTTGGTGACAAAATAAGTTTACTTTTCTAAGTATCCATTTGTTATTACTGTACATCTCAATTTTTTCTTTCTCCAATCTCAGTCACCTAAAATGTTTTTCGCCAACCGATCGTTCAAATATAAGAAGCAACCAATCGTTGAAAACTGAATGCCTAACCTTTATACTGAATGTAAACATTAAAGTTTTACTTTTCAGATATATTCCTGGTGTTTACATTGGAATCGAGGATTCCGTTTTTCTTATACATCCTGTAGTCCGAGAACAACGTTTTCGGAGCCTGAGCCCCTTCTACTACGCCTTGCCTTATTCGTGTGTGCATAAGTTTAACCTTACCCTGGAACCTTTCTCGCCACGTGCTCCAGCATTACCAGGTGCACCCTATAAGATATAATACAGCATTTTGTATAATTAGTAAAACACACATGAAAAATAAAGTATTTACACGTAAAAATGGGCAAAATAAGACAAAACATTACAACGCACAATACAAATGCATATCTCAAGGCAAATAACAACAAATTAGAAAAGAGCGAAATCTTTATTCTCATATAATCGTTTCCTAGAAAGTTTTTTCTTTTCTCCTTGAAGAGCACCTTTCGTCCTTAAAATATTTTTCATATTCCCTTTCGTCCTTAAAATATTTTTCATATTCATTGGAACGTCGTTTCATTATCATAGTTTTACCAAACTTTGAACTTGTTCCAATAATTTCATGATTCATCTTTCTTTCAGTTTTGGAAAATACAGAATCCTATTATTATATGCCGAAAAGGCTATGCCAAACTTCAAACGAATACGAGCACTTACAGGAACACCAGATTTACCGTCTTCACCATTCTCACCATCTCTACCTTGGGCGCCCTGCGAATCGAAACAAAACAATTATTGTCGAGCCATTGTTGGGTACCGGTCAAACGTCTGTTATGTTAATCTGGTTATAATTCCATGACACGCAGTCACTAAATATATTAGCATAATTAGGTCGCAAGCCCCTATGAATAGTGGTAACACGGTTCTTCTTTGGTTGTATAGTTCCGCAGTACTATTGGTATATGATACTACCGTACTATTGGTGTAACCTGCTACAAGACCCTGGCAAGGCTATCACTCAAAGTTTGTCAAGATTCACACAGTACAATATTAATTCATTAATGACCTCTCATACGCGGGAACACCAGATTTACCGTCTTCACCATTCTCACCATCTCTACCTTGGGCGCCCTGCGAATCGAAACAAAACAATTATTGTCGAGCCATTGTTGGGTACCGGTCAAACGTCTGTTATGTTAATCTGGTTATAATTCCATGACACGCAGTCACTAAATATATTAGCATAATTAGGTCGCAAGCCCCTATGAATAGTGGTAACACGGTTCTTCTTTGGTTGTATAGTTCCGCAGTACTATTGGTATATGATACTACCGTACTATTGGTGTAACCTGCTACAAGACCCTGGCAAGGCTATCACTCAAAGTTTGTCAAGATTCACACAGTACAATATTAATTCATTAATGACCTCTCATACGCGGACACTATGGCCCGGTACTGAGTAGGGTGGCGGCTTTTATTAATAGTACAATCGAACTCATTATTTTTGTTCAAAATAGTACAGAGGTACTCTATAAGAACCGTTTACATGAGACTGGCACGAAGTCAAACAGGGAAGATTTCATTTCGGTCAGAGTATTATTTATTATAGATGTTTGAATTGAGATTGGGACGAAAATCCCGCTTGCTCGACAGAACCGACAGTCTTCAGACCGAGATGAATGTACACACAGATCAAACATTTCAGACTCTTTGGTTTCGGAAGAATGCATGCTCACAAAATCACTGTAAAAAATGGCGGGCAAGGGGAGTAAATTGAAAGATTTGTGTTTTTAGAACCGGTCTCGTGTGAACATGCTGAAAATTTCCATTTTCATCCAAGTTTGACATCCGCTCTCATATAAACGGGACCTAAATTATGTAAAAGTTTTAGATTAATTACATACCCGATCACCTGGATCACCTGGGTCTCCGTCCAATCCTGCCTCTCCCTATTAAACGCATAATAAAACATGTGAATGACAAAATGCTGTGCTGAGTGGTTATATTACTACCTTCAAAAAAGAGCAGAAACTCGACGTTTCGAGCGAAGGCCCTTCGTCAAGAGTTAGTAGCCAAATGACTCATTGTCTCGTACTGACATTGACATTTTGTCTAGTAACAAAATGACTCATTATCTCGAGCGGCATTCAAACTAGCATGTTCAGTCCAAGAACCTTTCATTTGATAAGTAAAATGGTCAGCTTTAGCCAGAGCAAGATAAAGTATAAATAGATATTGATATTCAATGGCCGTCAATAGATACTGAGTGTCATTACATGCAATTATTTACAGTACAGATAAAGGCTTGGGGGATTTGTGAACATGCTTTTTAAATCATAAACAGCAGAGTTTGTCGGTTAACCGAGTCAAATCCGAGTTCGAGTCGAATGTCCGAGTCACTGTTTAGCGATCTTTGTAGTTCAATGACTTAGTCCCTTAACTCGCTACTCCTAACACTAACCCTACTCCTAACCCTATTCGATTGTAAATTTTATTCAATTTCATCTTTTTTTACGTGACTCGGGTTCGGAATCGACTCGGATTTGACATGGTAAATGGATTTACTCATAAACAGCAGCTGAGGAGATACAACTACCTGAAACACACAAACATCTTTTTCTAGTACTTGTACCTCCCATAGACCGTTCGAGACTTTTTAAATCATATATACACTTAAAAATTGACATGATAAAATCGTTTTGGTGTATGCCCGCCTAATTGACGTTTAAAATCCCCTGGAAATCTCTATACCTTGTAAACAATTTCCGAACCGATTCAAAAACAAGTTTCAAGAAAACTGTAATCTTATACCTGGTTGCCTCGAAGTCCAACTGGACCTTGTAATCCGGGTTCACCTTTTTGGCCCTAAAATCAAAGCATATAAAACGGTTATTCCCTTATCAAAAACCACTTTATTTGTTACAATAAACAGGGCTTCCACTAGTGTATTGTCATGAAAAATATCATTTAAACCATCAGCACGATATCTTACGTCATTTACTCGTCGATTTTAGCTTTACCACAGTTGTTTTACCATTGGTTTCACATAATGACGAGTAATGATAACACTGTAGGTACAATTCATTCGAAGTTGCACAAGGACAGCAAAAGAGTAAGTTAAACTGATTCTTTTTAAATCAACGAATGTGGACGCAAGATATTCATGTGTCAAAAGTAGTGGGTATTATCCGAGGAGTCAGGGGGGGAGGGGAGGGATTGGGGGTTCCGGTTCTTCCAAAATTGAGGAGAAACTAAGGGCGTAACCCCGTAATGCTTTCATCTACGATATAACATATACCAAATCTGTGCCTTTCAGATTATCATAAAACGTGTCAAAATGCATGAAATAGCATTTCGCAGACTCTAAAAATAAAAAATTATCGGCCAAGGACGACCGGACCCCCTAGTTGTTCTGTGTGTTCGAAAATTAGACCCCCCCCCCTAACTTGTTTAAGGCTGCCTACGCCCCTGCGAGGAGTGTTGACAAGGTGGATTGGGAATTCACATTGTTCAACTCAAGATAATCAAACAGACTGGCAAAAAAAACAAATAACACAATATAAACCATATACTTACACTTGGACCTTTGGGACCTTTGACTCCCACAGCACCACGAACACCGCTTGCACCCTTTATAACATTAAAAAGAGTTTCATTAACACATATCCAGCTGCTGTCTTGTAGTTTACTTCCTGAGTTATCTTAGAGTTGGATAGACAAATAGTTCAATAAAATTTTACATCGCAGCCTGCTACTTCATTGCGTAAAATTTACAAAAGATATTATGTTACTGATCATATATAATTTCAATTAGGAATTAAATTGCATCCTAAATTCTTGGAGATATTAATTTAGAATGTATATACGAATTGCTATAAATATATAAGATTTTAAAAATAGTTTTCTTTGGGGTAACCTATGATGGCTTCCCTAGCCTGTATACAGCTATTTCAATTAAGGTTGTCCCCCGAGCAAAGCGGAAAAGTCGAATACGAGCGCGAAAGGCTGCTGGGAATCGCTAATAAATGATGCTCGGGGGACAACCTTAATTGAAATAGCTGTATGCTGAAGATAACTAAACCAACTATTCCTTTGTCATAGAAGGGGTTCCTAAACAAGTAGAATATAGTGGGATGTTTTTTGGGTTGTAGCAGATGACGCTTGCCTTGTGATCTGTACTGGATACAACCTTCTCGAATGAATTCCAGACCTGGTAAAAATGCTCAAATGTTCTTTGCCTTTGGATCCTCAATTTGTCTTTTTCAAAAGTTCCTCGAAAGTGCGTAAAAACGATGGAAAATTTGACCGTACAAGCGCCATTAATCATTATGTATATATGTTATCATGTTGTTTTAGTACGGTGTTTTGAGTTTAGTTCTAGTTTAGTTTTAGTTTAAACCACTAATTTATTTTTAGTTTAGTTCTAGTTTGAAAGAAGAATTTTTGATTTAGTATTAGTTTAGTTCTAGTTTAAAACAGTAATTTCAATTTAGTCTCAAAACTACGAAAGCATCTAAGACTAAGTAATCAAGTTTCCCATCTATTTTGTCGATGTGGTTAGTTTTAGCCGTGAAAATCGAAGCTGAAGTTTATAGTGTAAATCAGGATAAATCTGTATCCGATTTACAAACATGGCTTAATTAAACATTCATTTGCATTTCTTCTGAATTTTCTTCATGAATTATTAATGAGTTTTTAATTAAAATATGTAATCAGTCACTGTTCGAATTGTAACTATTTAGTTTTTGTTTAGTTCAGTTCTCAGAGGTTAGTTCTAGTATTCATCTCTAAAATTAGTTTGGTTCTCGTTTAGTTTGACTAAGTCAAGACTAAGTTTTGACTAGTGGACTAAATTATTTTGCCATGACTAAAATAGGATTTTAGTTGTAGTTGTAGTTGACTAAAACAACACACTATTAATATGATTTTTTTTCGGTGTTGTTGTAATGAACGCAGGTGAATATGATGCTTGTGATGTTACGCGTAGCTCAGTTGGCAGAGCATTGGGCTGGTATTCCAAAGGTCGTAGGTTCGATTCCCACCGTGGCCAGGCATATTTTTCAAGCTTGTCCGGTGTGGATATTGGGATATACACTCAGAGTAACATCACAAGCAGCACTATCAATACGTTACATGTCTCAAATGTCAATAATTCCTTTCATAACTTTAAAATGTTCCTCAATTTCTTGCTAAGGCATTTTTTTCTCAGAATCCCGAACTCCCACTATTTTCCAAGTCTGTTAAATTCAATCATCCACAATTCTAACGGCTTCCTCACCTTGGATCCAGGATCACCGATTCTTCCGGGAGGTCCGGGAGCCCCCTGTCGACCCTACAATAACGAAAATTCATAATGTGAACAAAATAGTAGTAAAAAATGTGGTTGTAACCTTATTTTCCAACTGCACACTTACACCAACTGCAACTAACATCTTCAAAATATTTATATGATCTAACTTCAAAACAATCTTCAAAACATTTCTTAATTTAACCTAACTTACTGTAAAACATCTTTAGTTTGACCTAACTTCAAATGTGTTACGAGCAAATACTTTTTATCATTTTCACTATTTTCATCGGAAAAATTAAGACCTGTTAGACTCTTAGCTTACTTGTTTTTCTGGGGGTCTTTTCACTTAGTTACATTTAATTATGAACATACAATTTATCAATACTTAATACAGTATTAATATAAGATTGTGAGCACAAAATCTACAAGCCTTTTGATCTCTCTTTGGTCCTTACAATGGAAGATTTTTGTTTGCAATTGCATTAGCAAAACTAATTTTGAGTTGACTTGACTATATATTCAGTACACTTGTATATTTGTGAATCTACAGGTAACATGTGCTCGAGCCATAGAGCGTGTTATTTCGAAAATTGTTCGACGCGTGTTCGTAATTCAAAATGGCGACGTAAAAGTGAATTATTGTGGTGTGCATGCAGGGGTGTAGTGGTATACCAAATATCTCATAAAAATCGTCCAAAATACCTGAAAAGACGCTCAAAACTACTTCGGTAAATTTTAATTCAAAATTTATCAATCAATCACAAAATTTAAATATACCGATGACCAATAATTTCAATGTAAATATGCCGTATATCTACAATAAAAGCCTATTACTGTAGACACTGCGTGTACCCAAAACCCTCTGGTCGATACCAAATTATCGCAATCAAACAAAAATCGAAGTTATTTCTGACATGCTCCCTTGTTTCAGTTGAACGTATAGGACGTTTGCACATGACGTCACAGCCGCCATGTTGGTGTTCCGATT